CAAATGCAAAAGCAGAGCAAGACAAAGGCTGGTAAATTTACCTGCCAAGGGCACAAAGCAACTCTGCACTGTAATTGATTTCCTCCACAAAGTCAATGACATTCAGCCAGTAATGACTTTGTAAAGAGACTGCCTCTGTCTCTCACTCCTTTCCTTTATCAATGTGTGTGTCCTCTCCCGCTGTCTAGCGCACACATTCAAGTGCTCTTAAAAATGCATTTGTGAGACATTGAACATTGAATTCTYGTGTTGTTTATGCTCACAGCAGAGGTTCAAATGCACCTGCTGTTGTTTGGAACACATGAGAATGACTTTGAGTCCATTGTTTTTTTCAAGCACAAAGAACTTCATATTTATTCTGTGCATGAACAAAAATCTTTTCAGCCTTTGAATTWAAAAAAAATCCCTTTCACTTTCAACAATGCATCAAAGGAAAGAATTGTATTTCAAAGAAAACTGAACACACAATGCTCATTTGATTCTTCAAACGTGTATTGTTTATATATAGAAACATTGATCAGACATGTAGCTAGATGAATAGTTATTCAGGAAGTGCAGATGGTAGTTAAATAAAACCCACTTTATACAGATGGTTGTGCTGTACAGATTGTAGTAAAAGTTGTCACAATGTTTAAAGCAACCAATGTAGTTGTGATTTTAGCATCTTTATTAAGCTTCTCCACAAACATTTGAGCAAGGTTTTATTTATTTATTTATTTATTTATTTATTAAAAACAGGCAAATCCCATTGAGACCACAAATCTCTTTTGCAAGAGAAGCCTGGACCTGAAGGCAACCTATTGTGCATGTTTTTGGTCTGGTTATACAAGAGATTATTTTTGTAAACTGAAGTTTCTATTTACCGTAAAATAATGTTTTATCCTTTCATGACTTTGAACTGGTGATTCACACTTTTATTACATCTCAATTGGATAATTATAACACTCTGTATGTTAGTGTTAGCCAGACCGGTCTCTCACCACTGCATTTGGTTCAGAACGCTGTTGCTCATCTTTTAATACAAACAGAAGTATATGAACATATCTCCTTGGTGCTGGCTTCCTTTCATTGGCTCTCTGTTCATTTTAAAATTTACTATAAAGTTTTATTGATGTTCTTTAGGGTCCTAATAGACTGCTTCCTGTCTGACCTCATTCAGCCTTATGTGCCCTCCAGATCCCTTGGATGGTAAATGGACTGTACTTATATAGCGCTTTTCTATCCATGCAGGACACTCAAAGCGCTTCACACTACAATCTATGTCCTCGTTTACCCATTCACACAGCACTCTACCAGATCTCCTACAAAGCTAACATGTACAATCAGCTATGGAGACTAATCAGTGCCAATAACATTCATACTGATGGGACACACATCAGAGGCSTTGGGGGTGAGGTGTCTTGCCCAAGGACACAACAACTGAGACAGCTGGATGGGGGATCGAACCGGCGACCTTCCAGTTCCAGGACGACTCCCCTAACCACTCTGCTACTTATGATCATTTGCTTTAAGTTGTGCTCAAGTCCAGACTGGTTCACAGAGGTGGTCAGGTCATTCGTTGCCCTGAAGTCCAGGCTGGTTCACGATGGTGATTGGGTCTTTAGTTTTCCTGAGGTTCAGGCTGGTTCACAATGGTGATTGGGTCTTTAGTTTTCCTGAGGTCCAGGCTGGTTTACAGAGGTGATCAGGTCTTTTCAGTTGTAGCTCTTAAATTGTGGAACCAGGCAACTGCCACTTCACATCAGACAAGCTTGAACTCTTGGTGTTTTTCTGTTTTATTTTAAACACAGTTTTACTCATTGGCTTTTAATACAGCATGAGAGTTGATTTATTTTTTAAATTTATGGTTGTTTTCTTAAATACTTTTTAACAGTTTTTTTCCAGTTTTTTGTGGTCTCTTGTGCTTRGTTTTATCTTTTTACAATTTTTATTGTGTGCAGCACTTTGGCCAGCATAATTAAAAAAAAAGTGTGACTCATAAATAAAACTGATTTGATCTGAATAGAAAAGGTAAGAGTGTTACACCTTTTTTTTTTTGCAGTGTATACAGAAGGAAATGTTCATCTTAACAGATAGCCAAGCTGCTATTAGAGCTCTCCAATGGCAACACTTTTCGTCTTTACTGGCTTGGGAGTGGGCCGAAGCAGTCAACTGGCATTAATGGTAACGAGAGAGCTGACTATCTTGCAAAAGTTGGTAGTCAGGCTCACTTCAAAGGACCAAGGACTGTTGTAGGTATTTCAACAGCTGTCTATAGGACTGCCCAACAGGCCTGGATTAGACATCAACATTTAATCTGCTGGAGGGAGCCGACAGACTCTCCAGACAGGCATGGGAACTGATAAATAGCCCAAATTTAAGGTTTGGGAAAGCTCTTATCGCCCTGACAAGGAAAACTCTTAAGTACACTGGTTGGAGTCCTAACTGGGCACAACTTGCTCTATCGCCACAACATGGTGATGGGACTCCATGTCAATGTGTGTGATGCTTGTGGCATTGAATTATAGACCTCTTTGCACAACTTGGGCTACTGCCTGGCTCTGAGTAGTCAAAGGAAAATAATTCTTGTTGACCCCTTTATGGATCCTGAGAAGCTCAGAACACTTGAGTGTTTTTAACCTTGTGTCTTTCATCCAAGAGACACAAAGGTTTGAATAAAGCTCAGTGTCTTTTTGGGGAGAGCAATGGGCCCATCGAGGCCCCTGCTCAAATGTTTTTTTCATCCATCCCCAGWAACCATAACCATAAGAGTGTTACAAGTGGGTTTAAAATCTTCAGAAAATCTCAGGGAAAGTCTAAAGCACTCTAAAACAAAGCAAAGCAAGAATGGATAACTCACGTGTCAACAGGAACTTGAAGCAAAAAAAAAAAAATCCTGAATACAGTATTTCAACAAAGTCCAAATGCAGAAGACCTCAGTCCACAACTACAATTACTTGTTTTAACTGGTTTCCTAAATTCATCATAGTTTTCTCAACGTTTATTCTTGGAATTGGTTTCAGATTATTTGTGCTCTGCAAAATGGGGCTTAAGTCGAGGCTTTTTGAGTGCCATTAAAGAAAAATTATACTTCTAGTGGGAATTAAGGAATTCCAAGATGATGACCTTAATGGAGAAAATGGTTAAAATGATTTTACCAGTTTGACTTTTTCCCATGTTTAACTTTTAGCATAAATATTTTGTGTAAATTTGCTGCTCACAGTACTGAGAACATGTTCTTTTCCTGGCTTTTATTTTTTTCAGAGGAACGCTCCAGAATTATTCAAAAGTGGGCAGATATGTCAGATTGTTTCTCAGCCATATGTTGTCTTTTGGTGGATGCCAATCTGCTTGTATTTGGGACAGAACCCTGCCACCTGTTTACTTTCTGCTTGGATTCACATGATTCATAAAAGTTAATTATGAGTTGTCACATCATTTTCAAGATTCAACACTCAGTTTATTCACACAGGTGTCCTTTTGATGATCGGAGCACCAGCCTTTGATTCTTGTGTGATCAACAAGTCTCATCAATGTCACTCATATCTCAGTCTGACCATCTGGATTAGAGTCAGAGTATTTTTATTTTTCATTGGCACAAAGCCACAAGGTTCACACCATCTCCCTTCATCACATGCTTTCATAAAACAGATTAAACTACTTCCTGTGGCTRGTGGCATAATTTTAATAACAAAATGTGGGTGCTGCTCAGTTCAAACCTCTGCCAATTTGTACCCTAACCTCACTGTTTGGAGCTAGCTTTTTAAGCTAAGTGATTATTATTTTGTACATTTTGGTTTTTGGTTGTGAAACAGTAACTGCACTAATCCTATACATGAATTATGGCACCAGTTCCCTAAGAATACAGTGATAACTAGTAAATTATTTTAGACACATTGTGAAAAAAGAAGAAAAACCCTCAGAACATTCTATTTACATGTGGCAGTGATAAGGAATGCATTTTGTACATTACATCATGATAAAACACACGTACTAGGTGTAGACTTTTGATGGTGCAGGCTGTAATAAAGCAAATTCTGCTTGCATGAAATACAGTGAAAGGACAACCTGCTTGTGCTTTTGGCACACATTAAATTGTCATATTAGTTCTGAGTTTAAGAACTGATTGCAAAACAAAGGTGGCATTTTGCTTTTAACTTCAAGTAAAAACACATCAGGTTCCCATTCTCATTGCTACAGCTGAGCACTACTGACAAACAATAACTGAGAATAATAATAAATAATAATATAATAATAAATGTGATGAGTAGCTACCATCTTGAATTCTCAACTCTCCCACTTTCCAATAGGGAATTCTCACTGGAGGGGTGTTCCAGTTTAAATTTACGTAAAATTTACGTAAGTGGGAAATTCCCACGTCCTAGTTCAACTGGACCACAGCAAATATAGCTGGTGGAAATGCAATGAAATGCAGTGAATTTAAAGAGCGAATTACGCCACTTGCAGGGTACTTTTGAGTCCTGTGCACCTCCACCTAGAGGTGAGCTGCTGTCGTTTTGTGGGTAAAATAATCAACATTCATAATGGGTGATGTAGTTTATTGTCAGGGCTGGCTTTAAAGCACCGTATGCTTATTGTAAGACATTAATATATCTTTGAAACTCATGTGGGTCACATTTGGACCGCAGGCCTTAAGTTTAACACGTGTTGTAAAATAACTTTTTTTCCCCCAAATTTCCTGTTTTATAATAATAATGATTTGTCAGTTTATTTACTTGAATAATGTAATACAAACTGGTCAGAAGATTAGGTCTTCTACATTATGTCTAATGTGAGTCCAATGAGCTGCAATAGACAGTTTGTTTTCTTACACTAAAATTAAGGGTATGAAGTAACCAAACTTGGCATCAATACAAACTGACCTGGAGCTCAAAATATCTTTTACTCGTTAACAGATAACTTCTCTGAAGGCATAAATCTAATCTAGTTTAGGGTGAAAAAAACCCCTCTGCTGTTGTTACAGTTGTCTAAAATGTAGTGCTGTTTCTCTGTTTCTGCAGGGAAAATGAAGTCCTGAAGGTCCAGTTGAAGAAGTATGTGGGTGCAGTGCAGATGCTGAAAAGAGAGGGTAGCCAGGACAATGATGGTAAGACYCTGTCTTTTTGTGTATCTTCAAGACCTATATAATGTGTGTGTGTCTCACTGACATGAAGCATGATTGAAACAAAATGGTGAAGAACACAAACTGAGAAATATGGGTTGGCGGTACATTTTTTTCCAAATTCTGGATCGGTTCTGTTAGATTTTTCTGGACCTTTTAGTTATTAATTTCAATTTTTGTGGCATTGACATGTCAAAAAGATGGCTTCTCTTCTGCCTCTGTGTTTGACTCATTRTGCATTTGAGGTTTTTGGAGGGTTTAATGACTTTGACTTTGTTTCCTTGTTGCCAGGGGATGGAAATCATCCTCTGTATAAAGACTAGCAAGATAAGTCCCTGCTTTTTAAAAGGAAAATAAAACGAACACAGCAGATTACAGAGGGCCACATAATAGTTAATTGCATTCTGTTGGATAGAAGAGATAGAGGGGAGAGCYGTTATCTTTGCTGCTGGAAGGGTTTGTGTGTTTGTGACATTTTAGTTTTTTTTTCTTTTTTTTAAATATTTTGTGCAGCAGAGAAAATGAGCTTTGCAAACTTTTATCATTGTAATCCATTTATGGTGTGTTTTTTCCATCTTCCTTTATTCTTTTAATAATGTGCTACAGTATCGACGCCGGACATTTACTGAAAGAGCAAAGTGTATCTGGTGATTATTTTAAACAATATTTATTTATTTGTTTGAGCACAACTTTGGTAATACAGTTTCTGTGGGTGATGCTAAAACTGCAGCAACAATAATGCAGAAGTCAAAGGATGGACAGTAGCATTCTAAGGCAGGTGCAAAAGCTTTAAATTTAGGGTGGAAGTCACTATAAAATTTGAGCTAACAAATAAAAATACAGGTAAGCTGCTATTTTTCATTGGTTAATGTTTTGTTGGACAGTCATTTCAACAACTGGATGAAATTACAACATAATATGAATCATGCCCATCTACCACCATTAGTAACATAAGCTGCTGTAATATAGTATATAGCACAGACTAAGTACTGTGAAAGACGACACTTCTGTAAACAGACATTTATTTAGAGATAGATGTGTTCACTACACCATATGATGCAATAATTATTGTCGTTCAAGCCACTTCACTGGTATAAAAATGGTAAAATGTGTAACTTTTTAAGTATTATGTCCTTTTCCATCTCTTGTATGGCAAAGATGTATTMTATGCATTTTGTATAATGTGATTTGAGTATAAGGCAACCCCCTTATTTTTTTTTGCAAAAATATCTTTGGTTAATAGCGTTTAAAAATTTTGATCTATGCAAGCACTAATTTTTATATAATCATATAAAACTCTTTCTCATATTTTATTATTTGTATTAGTTTTACTCTGTTGGAAATCAACAATTTGTCTCAGGAACTCATTTCCCSCCACAGCAGGTTATTTTTTTCTGGTCACTAGATGACTAGAAAATGTTATCTCTGTATGAAAAAGATTCATTTATTCATACAGTAGGATTTCCAACAGTCAAACATCTTCAGGAGAGTTGACAACCCCCCGTTTATCGAGCCTACGCAGACCTGTGCAAGTTGGGCCCACAACGGCGTCATGTTTAAAACATCACAGCGGCTTCGCATTTCATCTCTCTGGTGCCTGATTACTGGGTTTGGCCCGTCAGACATGGCCGCGTGGCCCTGCTGAGCACGGCGGGGAGAAACAAAAAGTAAGAAAGATGTCTGTACAGAGAGATCCTGACAAATGAAAACATACGTATGTTAACAGAAAATCACTGTCACTCAGGTCACCACCACAGACAGTCTTGTTAGTTGCCTGGTGTTTCTCTTGAGTTTGTCTACACCTGTTTGTTTTCCCTTGGGTCGTGTATTTTACCGCAGTCATTATCCTACTCGCTCATGTTGACTTTTTCTTCTCTTGTTTGTATCTTTTCTGTCGCCTTTACAACCCCTCCTTCCACTCGCACTCCCTTTGTCCCAGCAGGCATAGTAATTCCTCCTCCTTGGCAGCGTCTAAATTATTTCATCCTCTCTTTACCTCTGTCTTCTCCGACTAATGATGCACCTCATTCCGTTGAACTTTGATGTCGACTTTCGCAGTCTGCTTGTACATTTGTGTGTGTGTGTGTGTGTGTGTGTGTGTGTGTGTGTGTGTGTGTGTGTATGTGTGTGTGTGTGTGGAGCTAGGTGAGTAATGTGGGAGCTGTTTAGGGTGAGCAGTGGATGAACGGATACACAAGCACCTCTTTTATGTGCTGTCAGCATGCTTCCCCGCGATTGGTGCGTTGCCTTTTTCGAAACCCCTCCTGTTTTTGACAGCGCTGCAGATGTGATCTCTTGAACGCTCCTCAGGCATTGTCAGAACCACTGACATCCCACAAAAGACGAGTTTTTTTCCCTCCGTTTGAGAGAAATGATAATTACTGTTTCCATGTACGAAGGCGTCTATCCGTGTTTATTTGGGGGATGCCCCCTTTCTGCTTAGACTTGCATATGAGGCACCAGTGAGCCCGTCTTCCTGTTTGGTGTTTTTCATGAATTTTGATTGCAATTCATATTGTATGCATAAGTCCCATTTGAACATCTGTGTAAGTTCGTCGAATGGAACATATGATTTATGTTATGTGTCATTAGCATTACTCCCCTTTATTCATGTCAAAGAGAATTCACTTGTGCAAGAGTGGTTTAATAAGCTTCCAGATTGCATGTGCATAGCTTTATGAATGCATGTGTGTGCATGTCCTTAAAAGGAGGCTGTTAGCTGAACTCCTGGGGACATGTAAATTAGTCGTCAGTCAGATTTAGCAGAGTGAGAAAAAGAGAATTCTCATGAGAAAAATACTGAGCTGCATGCAGCAATATCATACATGAGATACAGTACTTGAAGGGTTATGTGGATGTATTGTATTTATGCAATTATTTTTCCATAAACAAAGGGTTCTTCTTGACCAAACACCTTCCTTAGTGGCTATATTTGCTCAAAAATATTTTTTCTCTAAAGCCACATGAGGCATTGCTCCAGCGTCAAAGTGGACAACCAAACTCGCTGATCAAATAGTCCTGCAGGACAGAGAAAGGCTAGTAGTAATGGTTGGAAAAACAAAAATAAAGTACACCAAAATATCAAAATAAAGCAGTGTTTCCTTTGAATATAATCATAAATGGCTTCCTGTAATTTGATCCTAATAAAGCTTCATATGTGTCTAAATCTGTTAGTAGTCAATTACCATTTTTAAATTAAATAAGTTCTGCAAATTATGAGCTAAACCAGTGATTTCAGTTATGAACCTTAGAAAACTGCAATTGTAAGAATGGTGAACCTAAATAACTTCCCTTCAAAGATGTAACTGCAATAGTTTGGCAATAGTTTGGATTTGAGCATATGAAATACATTTAATCCCCAGTGAGATGCTGTGCAAGCTCTGTATGAAGGAGGCGTCAGCCAGAGTTGGAAATACTTCCCTGCTTTGACTGCTTCTTAGAATTTATGACCGCTGTGAGGATGAACCTGTTGTAGGATGAAATTCAAAGACAGATGAAGTTCAYTTGCCACTGCTGATAAAACTGCCCACCACTTGAGGCAACAGTAATAGGTGTGTTTGTGAGAATGACTAAAACCACYCTGAGTTCATCAGAACAAACATTGGGGGGGGACATTCATATGCACACACTCACACCAATGTCAGGCCAGTAGCTCTGACATTGCATCTGATYAAGACCCTGGAGAGYCTGGTCCTCAACTATCTGCGCTACCTGGTGAAGTCTTCATTGGATCKGCTGCAGTTCACCTACCAGCCTGGCATCYGGGTGGATAATGCCATCATCTACCTTTAGCACCGAGCTCTGACTCACCTGGAGAACCTGGAAGCAATGTGAGAATCATGTTCTTTGATTTCTCCAGTGCTTTCAACACCATCCAGCCAGGACTCCTGAGGGACAAGCTGGAGCTCTCTGGAGCAGAACCACTTTCTCATCAACATTGCTAAAACCAAGGAGCTGGTGGCACAGACCGACCTCATTGACATGGGTGAACATCCAGGGAATGGACATTGAGATAGTGGACTCTTACAGGTACCTGGGTGTTCACCTGAACAATAAACTGGACTGGACCAACAACAACACGGACGCTCTTTACAGGAAGGGTCAGAGCAGACTCTACCTGCTGAGGAGGCTGAGGTCCTTTGGAGTGCAGGGAGCGCTCATGAAGACCTTCTTTGACACAGTCGTGGCTTCAGCCATCTTCTARGGCATCGTCTGTTGGAGCAGCAGCTTATCRACWGRTGAGATGAAGCAGCTGGATAAGCTCATCAGGAAGGCCAGTTCTGTGCTGGGATGCCCCCTCGACCCAGTGCAGGTGGTGTTAGACAGAAAGACTCTGGCTAAAATAACATCACTGACAGAGAATGTCTCCCACCCAATGCATGGAACTGTAGCTGAGCTGCAGAGCTCCTTCAGAGACAGGCTGCTGCATCCTAAKTGCACAAAGGAGCGTTACCAAAGATCCTTCCTCCCAGCAGCTGTTAGACTSTACAACCAGCACTGCTTCCAACAAACTCAATAAGTATTCATGCTTGTTTGCAATGTAATCAACGCTGTTTCTCAGTCACTACCTAAATAACAATCTTGTGGCTATTGCACATCTATTTTCTGTACTGTTACACTAACTGTAAAAATCTGCCGTTTACAGTATTTATTACACACACACACACACACATTATGTACACTACTGGAAATGACCTAATTTGACTCAACTGCACACCTCATTGTAATTTACCTGCACAGGATATTTTATTTTATTTTGCTATGTACAGTGTTTTGTTTATTTTCATTGTAATTCTTTCATTTTCTTTATTCCATTACCACTACTACAATTGCTAGTGGTGCATTGCAATATGTTGTTTTTTGTGAACAGATGCTGCTGGTGTTACACATGAATTTCCCATCTGTGGGACAATAAAGGCTGTTTCTATTCTATTCTATTTTAAAGGACAATATGTAGTCATCAGTTAACATAACATGCATTAACT